CTTCTTTTCAAATCCGTGATTTTTTCAAATACATGAACGAATTTTCCAAATCCACAAACTTGTCTCAATTTTTAGAAACTTTTTTCAAAACCCGTGAACTTGTTTCAAATCAGTGAACTTTTTTTTTCAAAGTTGATGAACTTTTTTGAAATCCATGATTTTTTTCAAATGTCATTAACTTTTCAAAACTTTGTTTAATTCGTCAAATTATTTTCAAATTTTGTGATCTTTTTCAAATTCACGCATCTTTTGGAAATATGTCAACTTCTTGCAGATTCGCAAACTTTTTTCAAATATGTAATATTTTTCAAATTCATGAACCCCCTTCAAATCTGTCAGTTTATAAATCCGTGAACTTTTTGTTTGGCCCACGAACTATTTTCACATCCAAAGATTTTGTCAAATTCATAAACCATATTCTAAACCCGTCAAACTATTTTGATTTCGGAGTTTTTAAAATCTATAAACTCTAATACAATGGGAGCATAAAAATTGAGAAAAACAAAACTCGAGCGAATAATCTATGCCCGAGCGAGAGGAAAGACGAATGAGCGAAGGGGGCACTAGATGGACCGTGGCCCAGAAACATTCGTAGTGTGCGCTAGGGAGACTTCCCTGTGGTACAAGCGTAGAAGAGGAGATCTCTTCAGGGAGTAGCATCAAATTGATGGCGCCACGATTAGGAGGGCGCCCGACTATGCCGGCCCATTCGCGCGCAGAAAATGGTAGTGCATGGGCTTGAACCTTGTAAATCCCGCTACTGAGCGCTCGTCGCTACCCACACAAACTGATAAAGCTTAGAACAACTCTAGCAGACCCCGCAAAACGCAAAACAGAAAACCGCGTTTTCAGTTCGCAAAAAACGCATTTTAAAGGTTGGTTTGGGCTGCGACCGAGTAGACCCCTTAAACTTAGACGGTAAAATCGAATATTCTCGTATATTCTTCCTCACGTCTTCTCCTTCCTCTCGCCCATGTCCACAGCCAACTAGCTCGCTCCTACGAACCCGACAGACAGCGCACAAGCGACCAAATATGGTGCCGCCGGCGTCCAGCACGGCTCACACGGAGCGCCCCAGCGTCACCGTCGCCGTTGCTGCTTGAATCGCTCCAGAAGCTGGCTAGCACCGGCATCGAATCGATCCAAAGCTAGCTAGCTAGCTGGATAATCGATCGACCCAGGAGCTAGCTAGCTAGCTCCCGTCGCCATGGCCGATCGGTCCACAAGCTAGCTAACTAGCTAGCTTCCGTCGCCGTAGCTGTCTCCGAACGGGATCAGTCATGGCCGCAGGCACACGCTCGATCCTTTTGCAGTGCACAATTTTATTGGAGCAGAGAGTAATCGACGGCTGGAGATGGATGGTACGGACGGCGGCACGGGAAGAGGCGGCGGGAGGATCCGGTTCGTGGACTGTATATTGTCCTCGGACCTGTAGAACTAGGGGTCGGAGGCTCGCGTTTTCAGTGGCGTGCAAAACGTTTACAGTTTCACGAACTTTTACGGGGCCTATTGTCTGAAACCATAAACTCGCCTGAATTTTTACAGGTTTGGCGTTTTTGCGGTGTCTGCTAGAGTTGCTCTTACATGTCTAACTAGAAAACGCGGACTATTGGAACTATCCCTCGGCGACCGGTTTACTATAGTGAACCAGTCTTTTCCCCACTATTTCTTTTTCTTTTTTATACTTTTTGTTTCTTATTTTTGTTTTCAAAAAATTCTCTGACTTTTAAATTTTTTTTTGCGAAAACTCTGACTTTTAAATTATGATCTTAAATTATTATTTTCTTCAAATATTTATTAAATGTATTTCAAAGGCATTTACTATTTTTAATTGTATCACTTTGCATTTTATTAGTTATGTTAAAAACTTAAAACAACAGTTTTAAGTTCTTGTTGATGATGGAGATAAGCGCACGGCGACGGCGTGATCTACGTTAACAGTTACCCATGAAGAAAACGCATCCACGGCGCGGCGCCACGCGTGGACCGGCCCAGTAACGCCTGCTCGCCTCAAGGCGGGACGGGGCGACGCGACCTGTGTTTCGTCCCACCTAGATGCGGCAGGAGCGCCTTGACAGGCTTAAATTTGCCAGTTCCTCCGCCTGTCATAAGCATCGTTCTTCATTATACTCTTTGTTTAGGATATGGTCTGCTATCATGAATATTGGCTCGTTCAGAACTGGGAAAGTTCATACGGACAGTTCGTATTCTTCAAAACAAGAGCATTGATGACTGTTGTATTTTCTTTAAAATTAAATTATTTTGTTTTTGAATTATTTGTCTAGTGACGTATTTTTTGTCACGCAGCATTATTTCACATCCATTAAACGGACCTTTTCCCACGGTATTCTATCATCAGGGCAAGTATCCATGTCAAATTTTATTATTTTTGACATTTTATGCATTTCCAACTGTTTCCCCGGTGCAAAATCCATAAGATACTTAACGGACGTGACACAACGTATGTTTAATGTCCGAATTCGTTCAAATTTTGCATGGAGTACTAAGATGACCATGCTCAGCCACCTGCAAATTTTGGGTATATTTTGCCAAAGTCCACAAGTGCATCATGTACAATGTAGGGGTTTCGTTTTAGTCAGAAGATTACCAACCAAGTCAACCATATCGGTGCAAAAAAAAGGTACGAGAGTAGTTGCCCTTAGGACGGCCAGCCCATCTCCCAAAAAGATGTGTTGAAGAAAGATCTAATAACAAAAGAAGAAAATAGAACGGTCAAAAATACCGAGGGCGTAAAACAGTTGGTGTAAGTACTTCTTTCATCCCAAAATAAGTGTCTTAATTTTAGTAACACTTATTTTGGGACGGAGGGAGTAGTTTAGTTTTTCGGTGCAGAAAAGCTACGTGAGTAGCTACCCTTACGACAGCCAGCCCATTGCACGAAAAAAAATCGCACCGAAGGAATATCTAATGACCAGGAACGTTCAACACACAAAATTGAATGGTAAAATATATTGAAGACATTAAAGGCCTCGAAAGTGCGAAAATACAAAGGTGAACTTGGTTTCATGCCCACCCACATGAATAGTAAATTAAAAAAATATTAGAAATTTGTTAAAAAAAACCTGAAATCTTGGGATATCCAACTTGACCCACCATTATACTCATGTATGAAGTTTCGTAAAGTATTGACACGTGATATTCTTAGTGAAGAAAATACAACCGAGACCATACTATTCATCAAATAGTTTTTTTTTCAACATAGCTTCAATTTTGCCTAGATTTTCATGGATGCCATTTTTCCATGAAATTGCATACGCAGGTATACCGGTTGACTATATATGTTACAAAAATATTCAGATTTTTTAATTTTCTTTTTTGAACTTTACTATTCGTAAGAGGCGTGCGTGGAACCATGTTCACCAATCTGCATCCCTGAAAAGTGGTTCAATTTTACTGTCGTAAATATCAGGCTCAACTAAAAAAATTAATACCAGGCTTGGCCCAAAAACGAACAATTTTGCAGCCCGTGTACTATGAGGACCTCAAAGCCCAAAACATGGTAACCCTCTAGGCAGGCACAGGCCGCCGCGCTCACAGACGCTGTGTCACCGGGAGGATCGTGGACGGCGCAAACCCTCGTAGTCAGGGTCGGCTCTGGGGGTAGGCCACCTTGGCCTGGGCCAAGGGCCCCGGTCTGGGGGGGGGGGCATCATCAGATACATATAAGACTATACATCTATTTGGCTGGAAAAAATGAATCAGTACAGGCCCAGCCCAACTATGGGAGAGGAAAAGGCACGACGCCTGGCATACTACATCGATCGATTGAATCGCATCTCGGCATCTGCGTCTGGTCCTGGTCGCCTCGGGGGTTCGTCCGCCTCCGCCTGCTGCTCTCTCTGTCTCTCGAAGACTCGCACGGACGCCCGGCCGGCCGGCCACCGGCTGCTGCAAGCCTGCAATCAGGTGGCCCTTTAATCCTTGATTTCGCGATTCCCGTCTTGATTTTCTTGGTACGGTTGATTTTCTTCCTTTCTTGGCGTAAACGTATTTATCTTTTCAGTTTCATCATCTTTCTAGTCGTATTGATCTATTGATTTTTTTGCAGCTTTAGGATTTAGGTGTTACAATGACGAAACCTAAGTTCGGTGCTGCGAAAAGGAAACAAAAAAAAACTAGAGAATCAATTCATTGAGTCACAAAAAGGTGCTATAAAAATGTTTTTTCCAGTGCTGAGTACTGTTGATAATCAAAGACGAGAATCTGAACCCGGACAAGATGATGATCATAATTTTTTCTCTGAGTTAAAAGTGTTGCAAGTAACTTTGCCAGATGATTTGATGTCAGCACCTGAGATTCTGCAGTTTGTTACAGCTGTAGATTGCTATCCAAATGTGTCAGTTGCCTATCGGATCCTCTTGACTGTACTTGTGACTGTAGCCTCGGCTGAAAGAAGTTTCTCTAAATTGAAACTACTGAAGAATTGTTTGAGGTCGACCATGTTACAAGACAGATTGAATGGATTGGCCATGTGCTGTATTGAGAAGGATATCTTGGACAACATTGATCTTGATATTGTCATCAATGATTTTGCTTCTAGAAATGCCCGAAGAAGTTTTTTCGTGAAGAATTGAAGCATTATTGTCTATGAATTAGAATTTGGATCTATTTAAGGTAATCAAACTAGCAGGGAATATTGTTTCTCACATTTAATATTTTGCTACTTTATTAGTCTTCCTTGATATCAAGTCTGCGTGATTATCAATTTTTTATATGTTATACGTCTCAGAATAACAAAATATGATCGGATATGCGTACATATATATTACCTACAAGGGCCCTTTTTTCAACTTGGCCAAGGGCCCCGAAAAACATAGAGCCGGCCCTGCTCGTAGTTTCCAGCTTCCAGGTTTGGGGCGTCCGCCGGTGCAAGCCCAGGTTTGGCCCTCAGCTCATCCATCCATCCCAACTCTGAAAGCTTGGAGTGCCGACGGTCAGTGGACTGAGTAGATAGTACATTTCCGATGGATTCGCAGGTCATGTCGTCCTTCGCCGGCGTATCTGTCCTGGCCGACGGAGAGCTGTGCCCCGCCACCGCGTCGACCGTCGGCACCAGCACGGTCTGCGGATACCATCTGCTGGTGGTCCACGACTACTCACGCACCACGGAAGAGGCGCCCACCGGCGAGAGCATCAGCTCCCGTCCTTTCATGGTGGGAGGCCATTGTTGGATCAACAAGTACTACCCCAACGGCGAAGACTCCGACTCTGCCGACTTCATTTCTCTCGAGCTTTCGTGTCTCCAAGACGATGTTAACAAGAAGCATGTGGAAGCCAAGGTCGTTTTTACTTTCATAGACCAGGTTAAGATGCAGAATCCAGTCTACATTGCTGAAGCTGAGACATGCAGCTTCCATGATTTTTCTCGGGGCAGACACAAGTTCATGAGAAGAGAAGCCCTTGAACAATCATCAGTGAATCTAAATGACGATTCTTTCACCATCCGGTGCGACATCATGGTCTCCTCCTGCAACACCAAGGACGATGCCGCCACTAGCACCAGGGTGCCCCTGCCTCACATGTGCCAGCACTTTGAAGATCTCCTTTACACCGAGGTGGGTGCTGATGTGGAATTTGAGGTTGGCGGCGAGAGGCTGGCTGCACACCGGTGTGTGCTCGCAGCCCGATCCAAGGTCTTCATGTCACAATTCTTTGGCCCCATGAAGGAAGGCACTGATAAGACCGCTGTCATACAGATCAAAGACATGGAAGCAAGCATGTTCAGGGCCTTGCTTAGCTTCATCTACACCGACACGTTCCCTGATATGGAGGATGATGATGGCATGGAGGAGGACGGTATGTCACAAGTTGCGGAGCAAGAACAAGAAAACGAGACATTAGAGGATGAAATGCGGTTGCAATGGCTACAAAACTTGTTTGTAGCGTAGACATATATGATGTCCAACGACTCAAGTTCATCTGTGCAAGGAAGTTGTCTGAGCACATATGTGTGAGCTCGGTCATGTCCACTCTTGCTCTAGCCGAGCAGCACCACTGCCATGGATTGAAAGAGGCATGCTTCAAGTTTATCCAAGTCCAGTCCCCCTCATGTCTGCAAACATTAATGGCATCTAATGGCTGGGATCATGTCTTTGAGACCTATCCCTCGGTTTTAAAGGAGCTCATTGCAAAGCTTGCTTCGGACCACCGGAACTAACACTTTCTATGTGGTCCATGTAACTTAGTTAGATCTGAAGTGACGGTCTTATGCATATGTGGGATCCTCTAGAGAGATTGTAGTCCGTGTGTCTTGCTTTTGTCTTGTCATCTACTCCCTCCGTCCCATAATTCTTGTCTTAGATTTGTCTAGATATATACAGATGTACCTTGATACATCCGTATCTAGACAAATCTAAGACAAGAATTTTTGGATTGAGGGAGTATATAATTTGCATATTTGCTCGGCAAACTGTCTCTTGATGGAGTGAAGTCTGTAAATTTCCTTTGGGTGTAAGCACAAATTGATCTGGTCAATATGGGAGTTCCCTATCTAATCGTTTTATCCTCATGTATATATTTCTCTATGTATTAGGTGTGTCGTGCATCGTTCCTTTGTGGCTTCCCTATTATGAAAACCTTGTGTCCTTATTCTAGCTATTCTAAAGAAGAACAATGTTGATGTTTCTAGAAAGTCATCTTGATCCTCGAATTAAAGGAACGAATCTGGATAACAAAACAGTTGACTAAGAATTCTGGTTACCATGACAGTGATAGTGTGAACTCTGAGCCTTCTCATGAGTTCCTGCTGTTCTCCTGGGCCGGGCGCCCTCCATCTCAGAGGAAGGCCAGAGCTTGAAGATTCTGCAAAGTTCAGTGTTGTAGCTGCGGCCTGTACCAGGTTTACGTATTTCGTTGCTGTGTAGTTCATTCCAGTTTATGAACAAATGTCAGTCAAAACCTAGCCTGGGTATTAATTCCAGGTTTATGAACATTAATGTTAGCTTACAGAACCCAGAGGATATGATTCATCACCTTACCCTATCTGCTTGCATGTTCTGGAACACTCACTATGGAGGTACAAACATCTCTACTCCTAATGTTTGAGTTGGTGAATAGCCTCTACGGTTTATTTTCGTCTGGCTTTTTTTCGTCCGGTTTTTCTTCGTCCCACCTCCCACCACCCCCCACCCACCGGTTTTCTTCTTTTCTTATCTGGACGGCAATACCCAACGTATTTATGGTAATCAATCACAATTAATCCACATAGGATAAGGCTATAAACTAAGAAATCTCAAATATGATAATTATAGTAATAAATTAATCAAGGTATGGTAAGGCCATAACTCAGGAAATTTCAAATATGGTAATTATATGGTAATAAATTTAAATTACCCCAAAGGCTATCAATCCAGGTATAGTAAGGCCATAACTCAGGAAATTTCGAATATGATAATTATATAGTAATAAATTTAAATTACCCCAAAGGCTATCTCTACTCCTAATGATGGAGTATCTTTGCCATTTAGTTTCGTAACCTATCGATCGAACGAAATCCCCAGGCCCACCCCACGTCCTTGGTTTCGTTCCATACCCCCACCACCGAAGATCCTCCCCATCCCCGTCATAATCTTTCATTCCAAAAATCTTAACTTTCCTTGCCTAGCTAGGGACCTAGGCCCACACACATTCCAAATCACAAAACACTCTACTCCCTCCGTTCCTAAATATTTGTCTTTCTAGAGATTTCAACAAGTGACTACATACGGAGCAAAATGAGTGAATCTACACTCTAAAATATGTCTATATACATCCGTATGTGTTAGTCCATTTGAAATCCCTAAAAAGAAAAATATTTAGGAACGGAGGGAGTACAATCTTTCCTTTGGTCTCATCCAGATTGTGACCCTCTCTCCCGACGATCTCTTCCTCGTCCTCATGGCGGCCAGGACTAGCACGTGGATGTAGCTGCATATCGGAAATCCCAGGCGGCCACTCGATGCCCCCCCGCCCCCCCTAATGTCAACCTATCCATGCCCCTCTTCTATGCAGCCGACAAGGTCATGGGCGGGGACGACAGAGGATCCGGTAGCTATAGTGAGGCTGGTGGCGGCCGGATTGTCACCATGGACAAAGCGGTAGGCGAAGTGGTGGCATGGGTGAGCGGCAGCAAGGACAGCTTCTTCAACATGATGTGATGTCTCGACTACATTCAAAAGGCAACACAATCCATCCATCCTGCCGCACCTCATTACGTCTGTTAGGTTTAATCTTGATTTCATATCTGCATGTGTTTTCTGCTTTTGTACTGCATGTATTTCATCAGGTGAGTCGTGGGTAGGAGTCTTGGAGCAGCAAGTGTGCATGGCGAGATGCCAGATCGTGTGAAGCGATGTAGATGGTGAGATGCCTGGTGTAGTGTGAAACGGCAAGCTGAAGCGAAGGCCCTGAGGAGTAGACGGGTGAGTTTGTTAGTATTGCATGCCAGGTCCAGGAAGAAGATTAGCCACATGGGATAGTTGGTTACTGGTGCGTTGGTGCGTGGGTTAGTGCCACAAAAATCAGGGCGGCTTTGCCCGGGCTGTGTGCGTGCGTGTGTGTTTTATTTAACAGTTATACGTATGTTTGCTTCGAGAAGGAGAAATACAGAGAGAAAAGGTCGTGGCTGTGTGAAGCAGCACGACGCCAAAAAACTTCTGTGTTCCATTGTTCCTGTGCGAACTGTGAGAAGCTGAGAGGAAGAATGAGCTGGGGATCAGCTCCAACAACGTCTACCCTATTTCTCAACTATGAAAACCGAAGTTTTAGTTCTATAATTATGTGTGCTTGGCTGCTTGCTTGATGATGATGTGTGTGTGTGTGTGTCGCTGCGTTCCCCACCTGCTCCCGCCAGTCAGCAGCGGCCGGCCGGTGCGCTCTCTCGCACGCTGCCAGTCGAAGGGGTGAGCTGGAGCTATGGACTAGCAACTAACAAGGTTTTGCAGAACACAGGTGAGGGGTCGCATCGCCATACCCATTCCAATTGTTGGTGTTTTTTTTCCTTTCAAATGGAAATAGCAAGGTGACTATCCTAACTATAAAAGTTGTACTAGCAGGATCATCAAAACACCAATGCTTGAATTTTTAGACTATGTTCAGTTTCTGTGCCAAGCTCGAAATTTGAATATATAACATGCTCTCTTTATTTGAGTGTGTATGAATGTTCAATTGTTCATGCATGAAACTACATAACCAAGTATTGCTAGATTTAGTGATGCTTTCCTCAGAGTTCTTGTACATCAGACTGCACTGTTATCACATGCTTGATATTTATCATATGATCATTGGAAGTTCTGAGCGTTTTAGCTTATGATTGATGTGCCTGTAGGCACCATCGATGGAAAACATGGTGTGAGCGACTTCAAGTACGTTCTAATTTTGTTGCAATGGTTATGCGACGTCTGCGAGTTGGAGACGCACATTTAATTTATTTTCTGCAACATGGCCTTTGTTACAAAAACATATCTGCAACACAACCTTTGTGCTGGAAATAGACCCAATTCCACCATTGGTGGTTAACAGGATGAAATAAACATTGGCCCGCAATTGGTCCATGTGTACCATGGGCCTTTAACAGGCCAGAGGACACACTGCATTGTAATTAGGCCCAAACACACCACGGGTTGTTAATGGGTCAGAACTATCAATGCGTGAATGATGTGAAGTGTGCTATGGGCTAGTGACGGGCTGAATAGTCACCAATCGTTATGGTCCATGTGGACCGGGCTGCAATTAGGCTATCTACTAGTAGGCCATTAATGGGTCGGCCACTAACTTTTGCATAAGTCATGTGGGCCTATGAGTGGGCCGGCCTTTTTATATTAATGGGGCCCTACTAGGTCATGCCACATGTCATTGTTTCATAGGTGCATAACATCTATTGTATGGGTGACACTTCTCATAAGGAAGAGCCGGTGCATGGCTCCACTAGCGAATAAGAAGCCGACACGTCGAAAATTGACATTCGTCAACGTTTTTAACGGGAATCGGATCCATAACCTGCACCTGATAGCTTAACGGTGACCTGTATGAAAAGAGGAAAAGTTGGTCGCTGGCGTTAAGGGGGAGACACAGACAGATGGCATATATGTTACATATATGTGTGTTTCTTGGCGACTTGATGAACGGCCACGCGATCCATGGAAGGAAGAGACAGGAGTGAACCCCTCGTTGAAGGAAACAGGCACTTGGAAGGGCCCATGCGCGGGGGCACTAGCCTGTAGCCTGTTTTCTATTTTGTTTTTTTTCACATTTTTTGTTTTTGTTTCTTGCTTTCTTTCTTTACTTTTGCTTACACTTTAAAATATTCTAATTATATATATTACAAAAAACACTCTCCAAAAAGATATTTGAAAAATATCAAACAAGTATTTGAAAAACGTTAAATAAGTATAAAAAATGTTGATCAAGAATTTAAAAACTGCTGAACAAGTACTTCAAAAAATGTTGATCAAGTATTTGAAAAATGTTGTAATAAGTATTAAAAAAGTTGAATGAGTATTCGAAAATGTTGATTAAGTATTAAAAAAATATTGAATGAGTATTTGAAAAATGTTGAACAAGTATTTATTAAATGTTGAATAAGTGTTAAAACATTGAGCCATTATTTTAAAATGTTGAATAAGAGTTCGGAAAATGTTGAACGTGTATTCAAAAAATGTTAAATGACTTATTAAGATATTTTAACATATATGAAAATGTAAACTAAAAACAAATACAAACATAAGGAAAAAGAAAAATGGAGAAGAAAAAAGTAAACCAAACCAAAAATGCAGAAGAATAAAAAACCAATTATATGAAAAATGTTGAACAATTATTTTGAAAAATATTTATCATGTATATAAGAATGTAGAATGAAAAACAAAAATAAACAAAAAGTGAAAACCAAAAAGAAACAAATTAAACAAAAGGA